TCTGAGCACCAGGTACAGCCCTGCCTGAAGCTGTCTCCCTGTTGACATCTCAGGTAAGTCATTCTCTCCTGCACTGTTTGTTTCCTTAAGTCACTTTGGTTTTCTGTCACTTAAGAACAATTTTTGACTATTCCTTCAAGCTGGCTAAATGGAGTCCCTGGAACTGCAAAAGTGTGGTGACAGGCAATGATGTGGCTAATAGACTCCAGAGGCCTCTGTTCAAACAGGGGGTTGTAAATGACAAGGGAGAGTAAACATGGCCTCAGGGAACAGATTTGCTAGTGGCAGCTCCCAGTTCCTGGATATTAGAGTGCACACACTCAGCCAGGTCTCAGCTCTGCTGTCACACCTGCTAACCCACACCTCTCCTCTCCCACGTGCCTGGCCTCGGGGCTGGACACCCCAGGGCAACTGAAAAAGCCCAGGGCTTTGTGTTGTAATTTACACAGGCTGTCTCCACTTCTGAGTGTGAGGGTGACTGGGTTCCAGTTTACAGAGGAGAAAACAGACTAGAGGGGCTCGCTGGTGAGCTGTGGGGGTGGGACCCCAAAATACCATCTGACCTATGACTTCAGAGTGGGCAGCCTCCCCACCCTCAGCCAGGATGCTTGCTAAGCCTAGGGGCTCAGAAGTCCTGCTCACTCCAGCACTCCTCCTAGAGGTGAGGGTGGGGAGGGGAGGGGAGGGGTGGGCTCTTCTCTATATAACACTCACCCCTGCAAGGGCACACGTATGACCTCACAGTCTGTCATTCCTTCCTTATGACCTGGACCTCCTTGGCCGGGCATGAGAGGCGCCTTGATGTGTGAGCACTGCAGTCCATGGGTGCATACTTGGGCAGGTGCACCATGACTGAGAGGACAGCAACACAGGTTAAGCCCCCCCATGCTCAGATAATTACATTCTGGAACTGAGCGGTGTCCAGGGGTCAGGTGGCCAATTCTGGCCTTAGGGGCAAATTCTTATCATCCAGGTGGCTGATTTTTAAGTTAAATTACACATTTGCAATCCAATAGTCAAGCCCATTTCTAAGCAGCCTCGTAGCCTCTCAGCTTTTACCCCTCGCTGGGACCATGTTCTTAGCTTCAAACTGAGTGCCATAATGGACATGAATGTGTCCTTTTCATGTGTCACCTTCAGAGTAAGGGACCGCCCAAACTCTCCTCCCTTCCCCTTGTCAACACCTCCACACAGGGAGTGGGGCAATTTTGATGCAGTTGTGCAAATGTGTGAGCTAAGGATTTAGAATGACCAGGCTAGAAGGGGCCTGCCCCACATGGCAGGGCAGGTGGTCTGGCAGGGGAGTGATGGTTCACTTGTGAAACCTCAGCTGGTGTCAGGCAGCGAC